AGAAACAAAATAGTAAAGGACTTAAACAATTGTAAAACAACAAAAGAAGACGAGAAACAAACAAAACTCAAGATGATGAAATGATGATAAAAAATTGCCCTGGAACTTTATGAAGGTGAGGAAAGAAGATCAAAGAAAGAAGGAAGAGTACAGAAAAGGGAATGAGATAAGGCAAAGGCACGGGGGACATTAACTGTGTCTTTGCGCCAATTAGAAAGCCGCCTTCAGGTTCAGAAGGCTCTTTCTCGAGGAACGGTGGTCATCAATCAACTTCTCAGTGCATGTTGTCACATAGTTTGTCACAATGACAACATGCTCTGGTTAGAAATATCGATCGGGAATATTGATTTCTGTTTTGTTTCAAAAAGCGACGCTGTTCAGTGTGTATAAGAGAGGAACGATTCAAACAATGATCCACAATCAATTAACGGCTTAGCTGTCAGCGAAAACAAAGTTCAAACGTTATCAGATAGCCGGTCCAACACAGTATTGTGAATAAGAATGGTTCAAGAGCACTTCAAATAAATACCGAAGCCAAAATGAGTTGTTGAAGACGATGGATGAGCTACGGCAGCCGACGATCGATACTCACGCAGCTCGCTGGCCGTCTGGCTGGCTGGATGCTATTTTGCCACAGCCAGCTGGACAACGCCCACCATGCCAGCACCTGATCTCCAGAAATAGCCTGGGCTGAATCGCCCGTTTGCAGAGAACTCCAATCAACCCCGAGAGGAACTCCAATAAATCCTGAGAGCCACGGGAAAATGATGTGCGCTAATCAGCTCAATTAAGTATTTTCATCGTGCTTTTTAAAAACTGCAAAGGAGCGTGAGAGATAGGTAGAGAAAATGAACTCACGGTCTAAAACTTCAAAGTAAAAATCCAGTCCTAAGTCTTGCGTAATCGTTGTACTAGTTTGAGACCACACAACTGTGAGCCAACGTCGAGTGGTTGATACCAGGATTGCCAGGATTGCGAGTGGGGAGCAGGGTCTGTCCTATCGTTGTTACTTTTCGAAAAATTTTTACGACCCCCCTCCCCCAACGGTGGATTTGATACGACCCCCTTTTCCCTACCTCCACCATCTCCATCTTCCATCAAAACCCCGCCCACTTTTTCCTCCAAAAATGCCGTCGAGCGGGGGGGGGGCTATAATGGATGGAGTGAGAAGATATTTATGTATAGAGTAGGCACTGTGCTTGCGGATATTTTCCAAATGTAGAATCTAGTTACAGTGTAAAATCACGGAGAGATTCATGCAAGTTCCTGAGGTGTTTTTGGTAAATTTTGTGAATTTGGAGGTTTTTACGAATTGCAAAATCTTTGGCAAGTTCCGGATTTGGGCGCTGATGTCAATGGGGGAGGGGTGCGAATGGGGGGGGGGCATTCATGTGAGTGGGCCTACTACTGTTCCTGGGACTGAGCCTTAAGGAGGAGAAGGACCTCTGGGGAGGTTGTAAACAATTTGTGAGCTCCCTGACGTTCCTCCCCTCTCCTTGGCTTAGTTCTGGTGTCACCTCCCATCGGCCCTGTGTGGATGTCCTTCCCTAGGGACATGAGCGCTGGAATTTGTATAGGACGAGATAGGATTGAACGGCTATGTGAAGAATAGTGCTGGAGTGTGAATTCGGGCACCAGCCGAGAAGGCCGTGTAGGTCATGTTTGGGGAAAACTTCAGTGGGTAAATTTCTCGGCACATAACTCACCCATTTCCACATCTGTCGCTGTAGTGGTAAGAATACACTATATATGAACAGTGGGCCTTCATTCATACACTGCCCATTTATAGCGCTTGTTTTTAAGAACTGCCAATCTATCTTTCTCTTTCTCGCCCCAAATGCCGAATTCCAATGATCACAGCCATTGCAGTGTTCCTTCTCGTCCGGTTTTTTTCTCTAGGTATCATAATAATCACCCAAAAAAGCTACTAAGCATCGATCGATCTTAATAGGTTTGTCCACACATTCAACGACCTTCAATTAAAGTCACTGAGCGAGGTAAACTTGCTATCTTGATTATTGAAAGCTTCATAAAATCCTCACCCGACATGGGAATTTATTCAACCCGTATTTATTTCCCGTTTGGTTTTTTTTTGCTTCGGGCATATAGGACCATCTATTGCAGCAGCATTCAGTGCATTGCAGTCACCACAATGGGCGCACCCATTGCAAACTTTCCCAATAACAGAAGAAATTAATATCTTTTCGTTGCGCCTCGTTGTTTCCTTGCGTTCCACTGTGTTAGAAAGCTTATTTTATTTTAGAGATCTGTATACTCAAAGTCTTCCCATTTTCTCGGCTTCGAACGGCTGCGTACGTGCGTCAGCATAGAGCTGGTGAGGTTCATGAGGAATGCTCGAGAGTAAGAGTATTGAGCGCTGTGCGTCTAACAGGGCACCAATGGTGTAGCGGTATCATTGTACCCTCCCACGGTACAGACCCGGGTTCAACTCCCGGTTGGTGCAAACTTTTGCATTTCGAACAATTGGTTATTTTCCAGAAAGGAATACCCTACAGCCCTCTATATATGGAAAATTATTGAATCTGATAACGTTTTTGTTATTTGGGTGTGTTTCTATGCAACGCACGTGTACACATATGAAAAGAGCGTTAATTGCCTAACCCTTGAGAAATGCGCCAAGTTCGAATTTCGTTCATAACTGTAGGAGCTGTTGAGAGCGTGCTGGATGACTTGTTGTGGTGGGCAAAGATTAGCCTTTTGTCTTTATGCCTGTCCAAAAAAGTTCCTGGCAGCCAAAGCAAGTCGTGATTGTTCGACTGGATCGGTTTTCTTCGGTACTGTCGACGATGAAAATGTGAAAAGTCAAAGAATCTGAAAACACCACTAGACCCCTTACTGTTTGGAATGTAAGCGACGTAACTGAAGGAATCATCACCTTTTGGTTTGCACAAGCAAGCTGTCGTGCAAGCAAAGCGCCTTTCAGCTGACTCCGTGTGGGGCTACTGCATGGCGCATACCAGAACGGAACACACCAAGTGTATCAATTCCTATTTTATATAAAGATGGTGTATCGTGGTAGCGATATGACGGTTTTGAAAGAAGTCCCTCGCATCGGAGGGAGGTATGCAGTTTCCGATTGACTCGAAAGCCGTCTTTAACCCTTTGACGACAATGCGGATTTGCACGTAGCGTGCTCGTGGGACCACGCCTCTTTTTGGCGCGCCCAACTCTCGCACAAAATGGGGCAAAATTGTCCCTAAAAGCAGTTTTTCTATCAAAATTTTGACTTTGACAATAAACAAAATATGACTGCAGTCTTAAGCTTTATGATCATGTATTGTTGGAATTAGAAGTGGAAGTTTGGAAAGAAATCTCGGATTTCAAAGGGATGGTGGTAAAAACTCTAGAAGTTCATATGTACAGCAGAATTTTCGATACAGTTTCAAACCCTCCTTGTGCCTGAAGACTATGAAAAGACGTAGAGGTCTTCAGTAATTAACCTTAGGCTTAATAATGTAAAACACTAGTTAATATGTCGCCGAGCGAAGTGCCACATCCTAAAATTTCATATAAATTAGCTAGTAACAAACATTTCTGCAAAATATGCTAAACATAGGCGTAACGGAGCTTGCTTATAATTACTGATATGTTGAAAATGTTTTAAATGGGTAAAGAAGAAATTTTAGGGTGGCACCCACCATTGGGTGCCATTGTCCCACGCGACGGTCATAGTGGCACCCACCGGTGGGTGCCATTGTCGCCAAAGGGTTAACAGATACTCGACGCATTTCTCGCGATTACTGTAACAGTCGAAACAGCTGCAGCATCTGTTATTAAGAGCAAATCTTCTTCTTTACAGAGTTTTTCTTAGATTGTTGAAAAACTGTCACTGAAGAAAGTTACTGTCTCCCAAAAGAAGGAGACTCGCATAAATGTCTCAACGTCTTCGACGTGTCCCAGACGTCTCCAACTCGCGGGGTAAAACGTGTTTGAAAAAAGTTCAAAGCAATTTAGGACCTAGAGGTCTCGTGTATTCAGAATCTGCCTTCCTTTTCTGAAATAACTGTGTTTGAAGAAAGTCATAGTCCGTCAAACAGGGGGTAGATTAGGCGATTCGCGCTCCAATCGAGAGGCACGCGCAACGCGACCGCGGACGGTTCGTGCCCAGGGTCAAGCGTGCGTTGAGGAATCCTCGACAGGTCACAGGGGGGGGTCGTATTGGCCCGCTGGGAGGAAGAGATCGGGCCGGATTGATGCAGTAGGATCATCGTCGGAGGACAAACATCAAGGATCGAGTCGATGCCAGGCCAGAGGATTTCCAATAACAATGATATTCCGCCCACACAAAATTTCGTGATTCAGAGGTGTCCGCTTAGCAATTCTTAGTTACTTCAGTGTTTTATCACCACACAAGTTAAAGAATCCGAAATTCGCACGTTTTCCAAGGGATATTTTATCTTTCAAGTGAGTCCTCGAATCTGAAGGGATGTGAAGCACACGGCGCATCCCAGAGTGGGCCCAGTTGGTTGCGCGCGCTTCAACTACGGCTCTCTGGAGAAAAATCTCAATTCAGGAAAAATCAAGAGGATTCTGAAAGGGTTCATGTGAAATTACAGGGAGGAGTACACCATTCAACAAGAAACGCAGCCTTCAGCGTCAAATTCATAAGCATGTAACCTTTAAAGTTGAGATACGCTAAACAATTTTACACTTCTTGGAAAGAGAAAAGCACGAGGATTCCGAATCTGCTCCTACTTCAGTATATAATCGCCCCTGAAAGGAGCTATAGTCGTTGAAATAGCGCCAATGCAGGGCATCCTCGACGTGGCCATTTTTTGAATAGTGGACGTATTCAGCAGTTCTAGTGACTTTGAATAGAGCAAATCTTCTAGTTTTGATGACATATTAACTTTTCAGATTTGACGAAAATGAAGCAAGTTATGGCTTCGGAAAGTGTAAAAACTCGTGCTCATCATGAATTTTCCTCGTTAATTGATCTAAATTTGTTATTTCTTATAAATTTTTGTAATTTCAATACTGATTAGAAAGAGCTCTTCACAAAACTCCCAACTCCAAATCTGCTTTCAGATTGAAAATTCGTTATTTGAAGAAAGTTATAATCATTTGAATATTTTCTCTTCAGCAAATTTTTGTAGTTGTTGAGGACTCTTTCTTTTCAAGCTTTATTGGTGAGCTTTCGCTGATATAACAGCTTCCTCAGACCTAGAAGAATTATAAGCATATCACAATCAAACAGCCTTTACAATACTTATAGCAAATGACAACTAACTGACCAGGCGGCTACTTTCAATTAAGGAATTCTGCAAACAACAACTTGAGACTGCAAAGTTAAGCTACAATCCGAACTAACACAATTGGCGACAATAGAATGATGACACCTTACCCTAGGACAGTCGCTAACCAAATGAAAAGTACTCAAAATGAGCAGTACGTGACTCTTTTCACTGTGCTCGCATATATACACCGTTAACTTATTAATCTCATTGCCTCTATGAGTTCCTCTCTGTTGTTTATTTCTGGAGACAGTTGACAGTCGTAAGATGCATAGAGTGTTACCGAAGTTTCTTGAAATTGCGCTTTCAAACATTCCATATACTCGGAATCACTCAGTTTCAACCAGTCTTGCATCTCTAAGACGTGCGCTACTAGACGCATGCGTTGCAGAGCGTCGACGACGAAAATCACAATGCATACATGGGATCACCACAACAAAAAGTTTTCTACGAGGAAGATTAGATCGGGATGTATGGCAATCAATTTCAAGCAGGAACCAGATCCTGTGCTCACGAATCCGAGATCGCGAAAGAAGAAAACTCAAGAAAAACTTCGGCACTACTTGAGCCCCACAAATTCACTCTCGTACAGGCCATTTTATAGAACCGAATGTAGATGAAGATATGGAGGCTGTGCTTAGTTTGGGACCATCTTTTGCCATATCTACGGCTGTTACTCAGGAAGTGTTAGATTCAGTCATGTGTGCTTTCCACAAATTTGCATACCAAATTCGATGGAGAGAAAATTCAAGTCCCACTGTTTTGGACAGGTTATCATCATTCGCTTCATCGATACCGTTTCCAACTCCATCGGTTTTGACACCAAAACCAGCACCTGCACTAGAACCTGCACTAGCATCACTCCAACTGAACCTGGTACAAGCTTATAGAACCGACACGACAGCGAAGTTTGCATCGAATCTCACTGTGCAAGAAAGACATGGCTTGAGAAAGTTATTACGTCTGAAGAATGAGCTTCGATACAGTATAAGTGACAACAGTGGTGACTTCGTTGTTCTTACGCAAAGGATGGGCCAAGTGTCTTGGCCGTCTACATCTCTCAGATGAAGCAACGTACGGGAATCTCATCGCTTCGAGAATTTGAAAAGGTATCTAACGAACTCCCGAAACACAACAACGCGAGTATTGGGCAAGATCATGAACAAGAAAACGAATCAAGCGACTTCTGCTGACGTTCCCTGCTGTCCCAACATACTATGCATTGGTCAAAACGCATAAATTCCCCGAAGATGTTGATTTACATGAAAGCACGCGAAATCAAGACAAGACCAATCATATCCTCATGTGGAGGTCCGTCAGACAGAATAAGCTGGTTTCTCGTCAAGCTCCTATCGCCGCTACTCAATCATGTAGCTGCTCATATAGTCAATGTGGGAGATTTTATGTCTGCCCTAGATCGTTGCCAGATACCTGATGATGCGTGCTATGCAAGTTTTGACGCAGTCTCTCTATACACAAACGTCAATAACAATGAGGCAGAGAACTCTTTTCACAGAAACGAGGCTTAGCCATGGGATTGACTATTGCACCTATTGCACCTCTACTAGCCGTCGTCTACTTAGATCGCATAGAAAGAAGATCATTGGTCACGGGAATTGCGTTCTACAAACGATACATAGACGATGTATTTGTGATTGGCTCCACCTCCGCAATGCACACGATGCTTCAAAATCTGAACTCGTGTGATCCGAATATACGCTTCACGGTGGAGTATCCAGATGAGTGCGGTTTTCTCCCGTTCCTTAATACAAAGGTTCGGTTGGACCATGGCACCAAGGAGTACGTATGGTATAGAAAACCTGTGTCGAAGAGTATTATTTTACACTCTCGCAGTGCTCATCCACTGTATATGAAGGCAAACGTGATACGGAATCTTATCACGACGAAGACAAGGATCTGCACTCGAGAGTCAGCAGAAGTGGAGCGAAGTATTTCTAGAATATTGGAAGACAACGGCTACACCACGTGTGAACCACGATCATGGCGTCCTTTCTCTACTGCTGGAGGAATACCACTGATACTACCGTATGTGAACGAGGGCATAGCAAAGAAAGTGAACCAGATCGTGAAGTCATCGAACCTTCCAGTAAACTTAATATTTCGCCCACCAACGAACATCAAAGGCTTGCTTACGTCATCGAGGCTCTACGAAGAGAAGTGTGGTCGAAGAAACTGCTCGTACTGCACGGATAAGAAGATCTGCCAGTTACAAGGGACCGTTTATTTGGTCACTTGTGAAGTGTGCGATCGCAAGTACGTTGGAGAAACCATGAGGCCGCTATACAAAAGGATTGATGAGCATGTACGAGCGCTGAGGAACCCTTCGTCATATCCAAACAGCGGTTTCTCGCGTCATCGTACACTTTACCACGGACAAGAACCGCCTCCTGCCATAAAAGTCACCGTGCTCCACCGCTCGAAGGATGCCTCCTTGGAAAGAAAAGTGCTAGAGGCACTCGCTATCAAGCGACTGTCTCCAGAAATAAACAACAGAGAGGAACTCATAGAGGCAATGAGACTAATAAGTTAACGGTGTATATATGCGAGCACAGTGAAAAGAGTCACGTACTGCTCATTCTTGAGTACTTTTCATTTGGTTAGCGACTGTCCTAGGGTAAGGTGTCATCATTCTATTGTCGCCAATTGTGTTAGTTCGGATTGTAGCTTAACTTTGCAGTCTCAAGTAGTTGTTTGCAGAATTCTTAATTGAAAGTAGCCGCCTGGTCAGTTAGTTGTCATTTGCTATAAGTATTGTAAAGGCTGTTTAATTGTGATATGCTTATAATTCTTCTAGGTCTGAGGAAGCTGTTATATCAGCGAAAGCTCACCAATAAAGCTTGAAAAGAAAGAGTCCTCAACAACTACAAAGATTTGCTAAAGAGAAGATATTCAACAAATGAGGCTCAGGGATAACTCCATTTTACAATATTTGAATATTTGTTCAACTTCAATAGTAGATAAGCTGCTCCACGGTCAACGCCAAAGTCAGTCAACACACAGCTGGCTAAGGCGGTTACAAGGCTTCTTTCAACTGAAAGGGGACGTGTAAATTGAGAACCATACTCTGTGTAGTACTAGAATTTGGTAAGTCTTGTGAAGGAAATAAATAAAGAAGAGATGTTGTCATAGTATGCCATTTTTAGTGACTAGTTTGTCGTTTTTTGCTCCGTTTCTCGTTTGCTCGTTTGGTAGGACTCATCAATAATGATCATTCTTTGACTTTTTCACTTTTGTACTTCTTAAACGAATTTTTTGGTGGACGGTGGGGTAGCAGGGCTTTTTTATGAACAGTTTTGGGGAGAATTAAACAACCTTTTCATAGTTCGGCTTTTGAAGAGGGTTGTTTCATGGACTTCGGCCTCTGGGGAAGGAGGGAGGGGGGAAAGTCATAATTCCAAATTTTCCTCGACGGTTCGTTTGACCCTGTTTGAACCGCGGAGAATTCGCGCCTCAGCGGCGCTGCCTCCCGCTCAGCTTCTGAAGCTAACATTTTTGCCATGTGACCGGATGTGCGGAGGGTAAAAGAGGGTCGTATCAGAACCTCCGTTAAATGTGGGGTGTCGTAGAAACACTCCCTTCCCCACACGGTTCTATCCCTGATGGGAAAAGTACTACAGCGTACATCTGAACGTGGAGGTCCCCCACATAGACAATTAACAAGCAGAGGAAACGGCTGGCCCATCTCACTATGGACAGAGGATGAGGTTCGGACACTTGGGAAGATGAAGGTTGGAAAGGCGGTTGGGTCCAGATGGGGTGCCAATCGAGGCATGGAAGGCGCTCGGAGAGTACGGGATCAGATGGCTCACCCGATTCCTGAACACGGTAACTGCGAAGGAAGGATGCCGCCTGGAGAACAAGCACTATCGTCCCCATCTTCAAGCAGAAGGGTGACGCGATGGACTGCTCCAACTACCGCGGGATCAAGTTGACTGCGCATACAATGAAGCTGTACGAGCGACGGTCGAAAATGCGGGAGCTGGTCCCGATCTCCCAGGAACAGTTCGGGTTCATGCCCGAAAGGTCTACAACGGATGCCATCTTCATCGCAAGGCAAGTGATGGAGAAGTATCCAGAAAAGCGTCGACCTACTTAGCCTTTCTCGATATCGCTACAGCGATCTTCCTAGCTAAGTTTACGTAATATATTGGATGTATATGAAAACATCTTCTTCAGGAGCTGGGAAAACGCTGCGCCGCACGGCCTACAATCAACATTTGCCGTGACGTACTATTTTCTCATAACATTTAGCGTTACCAGGATGACTGATGTTTCTAAAGGCTTCTGCTTCAGACAAACATGGATCGTCACCGTATAGCCGTATAAATAGCCAATGAACTGTCGTGGGACATTCCTTTTCTCCGCTTCAACGCCCTTCTTGCTGTGGCTTCAACTTGGTTTAGCGCTGCACCTTTTATCGTATCTCACATCATTGCATATTTGCTATACCCATTTTATAATTTGCTTTTATACAGCGGCAAAGTTTAACCTTCGTGTGCAACGGTGTTCGTGTACCATATCCGCGTGGCACAGTAACGACGACGATATATATCAATATATCAATTTTATGGTGCATCGGCCGGGAATCGAACCCGGGTGGCCCGCGTGGCAGGCGATCATTCTACCACTGAATCACCGATGCACGCCAGACAGAAAAGTCGCGTAGTCACGCTCAATGAGTAGACACATAATTACGTGCTCGTAGATATCCTGTTAGGCATTTAGTGCGCTAGCGCTGAATAACAAAAAAAATATAATATTACCAAGCTCCACTTAAATTTTCAGATGATGGACTATAACGGTGAAATCAGACGCCTACGTGTGTCGTACGCAGCCCTCGAGCAAGAACCAACTGACTGCAAGAATGCCCTGAAAGAAGAGAAACAGAAACATCGGAAACTGCGCGCGCCGCGCTATTCCCTCCCTGCCGAAGCCAGACCAACTCTACAAGAATATCGTAGCCCGTTGTCACGAATTCTACGAATGCACTAAAAGGATCTCGTTCCTAAATTCGCGTGTCCGGAACCTCCATACATCTAAAGCCGACTGGAAAGAGCGTTTCCATGAATTGGAATTGCTGGAAATTAGGTGCGACAGAACGCGCCTAGAATTCCTATTTGTCTGATGCCATGATCCGTACGTTATTCAGCGTACCGCCGTTGCTCATCGCTAAAGGTGCAATCTCTGGAGCGATTTGGGATACCTGGATGCGAAAAGAACAGCTGAACGACGAAGGCGATCCCCTTCTCATGGACCCCGAAATCATCGAAACAGCTGTAGCGGACCAACTTCACACCGACTTACTCTCAGTGACCTTCGTACTGCCCTTCAAAACGACGATATAGTGAACGCAACAACTTTCCAAGAATCTGTGACCGAGAAACTCCGTCAGATT